CTACTCAGCATTAAAAGAGAATAAAATTATGGCATTTGCAGTTAATGGGTGAAGCTTGAGAATATTATGCTAAGCAAAGTAAGCCAATCCCAAAAAGCTAAAGGCCAAGTGTTTTCTCTGATTAATAGATGTTGATCTATGATGGAGGAGGGACCATAAAAAGAATGAAAGAACTTTAGATTGGGCAAAGGAGACAGTGCGAAGGGATTATGAGGATAGGAAAGATGGTGGAATGAAATGAGACATCATTACCCCAGGTACAGATATAATTGCACAAATGGTGCATCACTACACCAGGTACAACCAAAGAATTGAAATGTTGCACTCCATCTTTGTACAGTGAATTGAAATGCATTCTGATGTCTAAATGCATCTGTCTACTAGTATAACTAAGTAGAACAAATTAAAAAAAATTTAAAGCCAAAAAAAGAAGAAAACACAAAGGCTTCTATAGCACAAGAATTAAAATCAAGAATCAATAAATGGGATGGATTCAGACTAAAAAGCTTCTTCTCAACAAAATAAAAAATTAATGAAGTGAATAGAGAGCCTACAGAATGGGAGCAAATTTTTACCACATGCACATCAGATAGAGCACTAATCTCTAGGATATATAAAGAAGTCAAAAATCTTAACACCCCAAATAACCCAAGCAATAAATGGACCAAGGAACAGAACAGACACTTCTCAGAAGATGTTATACAATCAATTAACAAATATATGAAAAAAGATGTTCAACATCTCTAGCAATTAGAGAAATGCAAATGAAAACTACTTTAAGATTTCATCTCACTCAAGTCAGAATGGCAGCTATTATGCATACAAACAACAAGAAGTGTTGGCCAGGATGTGGGGGAAAAGGTACAGTCATATTGCTGTTAGGACTGCAAATTGGTACAGCCAATATGGAAAGCAGTATGGAGATTCCTTGGAAAACTGGGAATGGAACCACCATTTGACCCAACTATCCCTCTCCTGGGTTTTATACCCAAAGGACTTAAAAACAGCATACCACAGGGATACAGCCACATCAATGTTTATAACAGCACAATTCACAATAGCTAAATTGTGGAACTAACCTAGATACCCTTCAGTAGATGAATGGATAAAGAATATGTGGTATATATACACAATGGAATATTACTCATCATTAAAAGAGAATAAAATCATGGCATTTGCAGGTAAATGGATGGAACTGGAGAATATTATGCTAGTTGAAGTAAACCAATCCCCCCTCCAAAAAAAATGTGGAATGTTTTCTCTGATATAAGGATGCTGATTCAGAATGGGGATGGTGGGGTGGGAAGCATGGGAGGAATAGATGAACTTCAGATAGAACAAAGGGAAGGGAGGGAGCATGGGGGTAGGAATGAAGGTGGAATGAAACAGACATCATTACTCTAAGTACATGTATGAAAACACAAATGATGTGACTCCACTTTGTGTACAACCAGACATGAAAAAATGTGCTCTATTTGTGTAATATGAATTGAACTGCATTCTGCTATAACAAATTAGAAAAAAAAATAAACCAAAGATTCTGAAACTGAATGAAAAAAACCTCAAATTTGAATGAATGAATCTAATGATTCATCAGACTCAGTGTTAAATAGTACCTCTACTCAGACAATGAATAATAATGATCTTGAGATACTTCAAGATCCTAATAATGAAAAATAAAAAGAATCAGAACTAGAAGTGAAGAATAATGGCAACAATTCTCTACTGCCAATGAAACTTTAAATCTTGCTTAACATAATCATTATTCTCATATTTAAATATCTTGAAAAAAATAAATAAATAAATAAATATCTTGAGTTTTGAGAAAGTTCATTTTAGGATGTAGAATACCATAATAGACTATCACCATCATTCTAAAAATGAGAAAAAGTCATAGTATGTTTTGAAACCATATAAGAGCTTAGTGGGCAAACCAACCAAGTAACCTGAATTCCAAAGTGTAAGGAGCCCCTCCAAGCAACTTACAAAGAGAGATACATTATAATTTGTTTCACCTTCAGCAAGGCATGAAAGGGAAGACAGCAACCAGGTAGGTAGGTAAGAAAAGCAAAAACTTAACAAATTCTTAAGATTCCAGGTATATAAATTGTAGACTTACTTCAATACATAATAAACCTTAGAATCCTTCTTAATAACAAAGTAATTTTTAAAAAAGGAAGCACTGACATTTAGTATGTGTCTGCCATATTCAAAGCATGGTGCTAGCACTTACTATGCTTAATCCAACAAAATTTCACAATCTAGTAAGAAAGGATGGTATCCTTGCTTAATAAAGGGAAAAATGGCATAGAATGAATAAGTACTTTGCCCAAATTCCCATACCAGTAAGTAGCAAAGCCAGAGGCATCCTGACTTGGATTGCAATCCAGCTTGGATGGCAATTACATGTCTCATCTCCAATCCAGATATCCTTTCTTGCTGTAATTTAAATTGTTTAAATAACTTCTTTAGTTCAGTTTTCCAGTGGACAAATTAAAAAAATCATTCTCCTATTAATTATTCTTTTATATATACAAGACAAAATGCTAAGAAAATCTTGTTTAATGTACAATTTAACTTTTTACTTTTCAGGTATTGTAACTTTAATCGATTTATAGAAATATATGTCTCATCTACACAGGAAAAGTAGAAAAGAAAACAGAGCAAAGGAGAACCCTTTTCTTCTTTCCCCAGTATCTGTCCATCACACAGCATTAAATTGAAAATAACTAAAGGTCTAGTTTAAAACTAATCAAGGGAAAAGAATCTTTCTGAAATTTGACAGGTGAAAACTTTTGCTTTGTAATTTCCCTCAGTCTTTGGTGCCTGAAACTAAATAATGTGAGAATAAAACTAAATGAATTTTAAAATTCACTTCATGCTATGATGGCATTAAGGTAAAAGCACATCATTCTTCTACTTAAATGAAATCTCTTTTATAATAATTGATAATCAAAACTGAAACTACCAACTACTAGTAAATTATGCTAGTAATTATTTATGGTTGCCAGTCCTTTTAGGCCCCTCCTAAGGCCTACTAATATTGATCAATTTGTAACTATGCTGTGATTTTGACTATGCATAAATGATATCACTCTTGCTATTTCCAAGCATCTGATGTTTCATGATAAACACTTTTCTGATTTACAAAGTAACTTTTAATTCTATCTGAAGTTTCCAGAGTATTAGAAACTTTTACTTACCCTAATGTCATTTGCAGTTATAAAAATGTAACTCTTTTGGATACTGATCTATCAATTCTAATACTAGAAATATGGTATATGCAGTATGCCAAATAAGATTAAACTGACAAGATTAATCAGGAAACTAAAATATGATACATTAGTAACAATCACAATGCAATACTTTTAAAAAAGGAATCAGACAGCTGTCTCTATGTAGCTAGTAATTTCAAATCTTCAAATCAACACAATTTATGTATGTTTAAAAAGTCATGTGTACCTATTTAAACTTTTACTTATTAAGACCACAATTAGAGGGAATCAATAACACACACACACACATATATATATATACTCTCTCTCACACTAACAAGTTTAAATATTTGTTACCAAGGCAAAATGCATTCTAATTTTCAAAGTTAACAGGCTCTACCTTGAGCCCTAGAAAGGACTTAGTGTCCACTAATTCAGGTATCATACATATTCTAGCTCTTTTTGAACATATGGGTGTGAGTGTATGGATGTGTACATGTATTTATTATATGGTTTTGTGTGGGGTATTTTTGGCTTTTGTTTGATTTTATGTTTTTGCTAAAACATTTACCTAGTGAGTTGCAATCTTAAGGGAAAGGATGTAGATAGAGTTAAACTAAGGTGACTGCTTTCTCCAAAGTAACATATAGGTTACTTTATGTCAAAAAACAGAAGGTTGCATTTTAAAATATTTTCCATATAGTAACGTTATTTAATGAATTCTGAACAATGAGCTCAGTATTCTTCATACCGTTTCAATTAACATCAATTTGTGAACAGATCTTCTCTTTACACCAATCTCACCTACTTTCAAGAACAAAGAGTGTTAGAATTTCTTCCTCTATGGAGAGGTAACAAGTTAATTTTCAAGCCAAGGATCAAGCTTGAAACAAGCACATACCTGAGAAAGGAAGGTTCTTCCCCCCTCCTCCTTCTTCTTCAAAGAAACACAACGTTATGTCATACAGCATATGAACTAATATTCTAATATGTTTGTAATGAAGCTGGCTTGCTTACTTCTGAACCTTATAAATGCTCTTTATTTTTTATTAGGCTTGGGATTTATCCCCTTTTCCTCTCTCACTGTTTTCCCGGGGTCACAGTTATAAACAATACAGTTTGCACAATGAATTTCGCATGGTCATCCTACCTGAAATACCGCAAGCTCCCTACTCTAACCACCCCCAACCTACTCTACTCAGAGATATGCTAAATGAAGCCCGCTTTTAGGCTGCGACGCAAATGCACGCAGCCGGTGGAGCCAGAGCACCCGAATAGCTTTCCGGTGGCCCTCTGCTTCGCACAGCCCTTTGCATTCATACCGTAATCTTATTTGTTCGCTTGCTAGAATTTATGAGGCTGGTCAAGCCTTTAAGGTGATACCCAGCTTTCCCACTCCACACAGGAACCATTGTGGTGTTTGGCTCCCCTAAAATTAAACCACCGCTTCTAGTTCATCTGCGCTTTAGTTTACACGTTATCTGAAGTGATCCTCACTCCCAGCCCGTGAGAGCTGCGTCGCTGTCGCGGTGCCTATTTTATAGATGAGGTAAGAATCTTCCTGGTGGAGAAACAAGCTTCCTGGCAAAGGGACTGGCAGGTGTGACACGGCGGCTCGCAGTTTCTCACCTGACCGGCGGGCCTGGCTGCTGCCTCCATTCAGGCCAGGGAGGTGGGCCTCGCGACAGCGGCCGTTCAGAGACTTCCAGGGACCCCCTTTATCTCTACCTGCGCTCGCCCGGACCCCAGACCCCATCGCGCCTCACAGCTCCCACTAAGGCTCACCGTCCGATCTCGCCAGACAGCGTCTGGAAAGGACAGAGAAGCTCCACGTCCGCCACAGCCGTCCAGGGTCTGAGACCCACGAGCACAGGCGACGGCGGTGGCGGTCACCAGAAGGCCTTCGGATTCCCGGGAAAGGAAAACTCGTCCACAGTCAAGCAGCTGACATTTCCCAGTCAGTCGGAGCTCCGCCCACTTCCGTTTCCCCGCCTACTCTGGGTGTTTTCCTGCCCTGCTCCGCGGGGGATTGTGGGTATCTGCAAGGCGGGGAAAATCTCAAGGGAAGGAAGTCGGAGAGAGTTCGTCAGACTGCGAGATAGGCCAAGAACTACAATTCCCAGCAGGCTGCGGGGCCGCGGAGGCCGCGGTGGAAAGCGGGCAGGAGAGCCCTGCGCGCGCTGCAGGAATGGAACGTTGCTAGAGTGCGCGGGTCTGGCTGCTGGGGGCTGGAACCGCACGCTGGGAGCTGTCGCGCGCCAAAGCGGGAATCCGGGAGGCGGGCAGTTGTGCAATTAATGCAGGTATTTAAAACTCCCGAACCTGTGGACGCCATGCACAGGTAAGCCGACTGCAGAAGAGGGCAGAGCATGAATGGACCGTCTCAATTCTTTTAGGCCGCGCATGTTGCTACTTTTGCTAAGATTGTTACTAATGCTGTATTGTTGCCTAGAGCACCTTTTGGGGGGAAAATGGATGGATGGATGTTTTAGAGCGAGGATCAGCGTGCAGTTTTATTTGGCGTCTCTAAATGGGTTTTTCTCCTACCATTTTCATTCACTCACATTGCTCTTCCTCTTTCCTTGTTCCCTCCACGGGAAGAAATTCTTGAGGCCTTGTACGGGATCCTAAATCAAAACTCCTTTTGGATCTCTCCCCCACCCCCACCCCGTTTTTCCTTTCATTCTTGGGAACTCGCTGAAGGCACGTAACAAATGCAATTCTTTTAGCTGCTTTGAAAGTTGTCTACAACCCATAATTTGCTACTTCTTGCATGCCTACTTTGGAATTTTTTAGGGGTGTGCTTTCAAAAGGAATGGGGTATTGTGCCCTTCTGCAGGAAGCACCTCCAGGAGATTCCGGACCAGAGTAGCAACGTTACCACCAGCTTCACGTGGGGATGGGATTCTAGCAAGACTTCTGAACTGCTGTCAGGCATGGGGGTCTCCGCCCTAGAGAAGGAGGAGGTGGACAGTGAGAACATCCCCCAGGAACTGCTCTCTAACCTGGGCCACCCTCAGAGCCCCACACGGAAACGGCTGAAAAGCAAAGGGAGTGACAAAGACTTTGTGATCATTCGCAGGCCTAAACTCAATCGAGAGAACTTCCCCGGTAAGAGATGAGGGGAAAACTGTCAGTTATATAAGGGGTAGATTGGATTGTTTTGTTGGTAACCCTTCGCTGGGGGATCTTTTAAATTTTTCTTTCAGAATTACTTAGTTAAAAGTTATTTTCCAATAAAGTGGGACCAATGCTAATTAAAATCTACTGAAATCTTTCTAAGTCTCTAAGTCGTCTAATGCACAATCTACTTGAAACTTTTAACCCATGAAAAGACTTTGCTGCCTTTTTCCTTAGAAGGGCATCTGCCTGCCCAAAGTCCAGCTCACTACCACTGATAAATGGGAACATAAACAATGATCTTCTTTTAGGATCCCTTTTGTTTATAATTGCTGCTTTTTACTTCATTAAGCTTTCTGCCTTAATCACATTAGCTATTTGTCAATAGATTGCTAAAATGAATGTTATTCAAAGTGGTGGAAACTTGTCTCCCAGGTCCACGCCCAGATGGGCTTCTCCTGGGATGTTCATCTCCATTACTGTGGCATTATCCTTTCAGTCACCCAATACAGAAGATGAAACCTGATTTTTCACCTTTCCCAATGTCTAATCAATCTTCGTATCTTTCCCTCTTGTCTAGTAAATATTTCTCAAGTTCTCCTCATTTTGACTGAATTATTGTCATGGACTCATGATTTCCACCTTCTTTTCCCCGGGTCCATTCCCCAGAGTTGGAATGAATTGACCAAATTGATTGACTTTTGGTATCAGGGATTGAACCCAGGGGCACTTAATCACAGAGCCACATCCCCAGCTGTATTTATTTTGAAACAGGTTCTCACTAAGTTTCTTAGCGCCTCACTAAGTTGCTGAAGCTGCCTTTGAACTTGTGATCCTCCTGTCTCAGCCTCTGGAGCAGCTAGGATTATAGGCATGTACCACCATACCCAGCCTATTTTTTATTTTAATGAGACAGGGTCTCGATAAGTTGCTTAGGGCCTCACTAAATTACTGAGCCTGGGCTTTGAACTTGTGATCCTCCAGCCTCAGCCTCCCCAGCTGCTTAATAGCTTACAGACTTTCACCCCTGTGCTCAGCTTATTCTCTTTTTAGTAGCTCCCCATTTCCTGGTTTCTTAAGCAAGTGAATGAATGCCTCTGGGTGGACAGAACCCTGAACCCTGGAGTCTCAAAGCCATGGGGTAAACATAGAACATTGACCTGGGGGTAATGAATTTTGCTTGCTAATAAGTCATTTAAAACATTAATTCAGCAATATTTGCTAAGCACCTACTATGTGCTTAGCATTGTTCTAGGTGCTGAGGATATAACACTGAGCAAACATTCCTACCCTCAGGAACATTCATTGTAGTGAGGAAACACAATAAACATAATAAATATGGTATTTCATGCAGTATTGTTAGAAAGTGATAAGTATGATGCCTAAAAACAGAAATTAGAGCAAGCCAGGAGGGAGTGGAAGTCCTGGGGTGGAAGGTAGATTGCAGTTTTAAATAGGAGACTGAGGGAAAGCCTCAGTTAGACAGTGGCCTTTAAGCAAAGGCATAAAGGAGGTAAGGGACTATGCCATGCAAATATCTTGGAGGAAAGAGCCCCAGGTAAAAGGGACAACTCTTGCAAGATCCTGGAGAAATGGATGACATGTTTGCCCAAGGAACAACAAGGAAGCCTTATACCAACAGTGGGAAAGGAAAGCGTAGGGGGAGGAGAGGCTAGAGGTGGTGTTGAGCAGAGCTGTGATGCAACCCTGTGGAACCTTTTGAAAAAACTCTGGTTTGCTCAGACTAAACTGCCTGGGATGGAGGATAAAAGTCAAGATGTGTGGGGGAGGATCAGCAGTAATCAGATTCTGGATATATTCTGACATTAGAGACAGTAGAATCAGGAGGCTGTTGAATTATCTGTGGAAGAGGTGATTAGAGTCTAAACTGAAATTGGGTTAGTGATGATGGAGAAGACAGATTAAAGAAATAAGAGCCAAGGTAAATAAGTACATCTCTAAGTTCTCCTGTGTGGCTTTGTTTGCAGAAGAGTTGATGAGTTGATTGCTTGTTTGCTTTAAAAAAAAAATCTGTTTCCTCAACCCTTTCTTTAGAAAAGAGAGCCTTGTCCAACTTATGGCATGAAAATCCATACCAAGAATTCAAGTAATTGGGAGAGACGGTAGAAGGTTGTGATGAGGTCAGGTAAATCTGAATTTGAATCCTTATTTTGCTGTTTACCCGCCTTGGAAAGCTGTTGGAACTCTCTGAGTTATAGTTTCAAGGCCTGTGAAATGGAATAATAATTCCCACTTCCTAGGTTGCTGTGAAGACTGAGGCTGCACATAAATAAAGCTCTTAGTATGCTGCTGACACATAATGCTCCATAAGTAAACCCAGTTACTATTAGTCACCAAAATTTCTGACACCTATTTGAGAGACTGTTTTTGGTTTTTAACCATTATACTGTTAGTCTGATCCTAGAAATATAGACTTTTTATCTTTAAAATTTAATGTCACATGCTATTTTTAGTGTCTGCAATGTAGCACTAGCAATTTGGTGCTTAACTGACCAAACATGGGTATTTTGATCAACTTATCCAATGCAATTTGATTGCTATATGTCATTCTACATTCATATATACAAATATAAATAAAAAGACATTTTTAAAATATAGTTGTAGATGGACACAATAACTTTATTTTATTTATTTATTTTTATGCGGTCCTGAGGATCGAACCCCAGTGTCTTACATGTGCTAGGTAAGTGCTCTACCACTGAGCTACGACTCCCAACTCCTAAAAATATATTTAAGCAAGGCACTGAAACCAGACAGAAGTATAAAGAATGATGCTATCTCCTAGGAATTTCAAACAAGGAGAAAAGATAAATAAAAGCAACTTATACACGGCAATATGTGGCTGTAGCTAACACCAGCCGCAGATGAGTAGCTCAAACAGTGAGTGTTCTGGAGAGCCAGAGAGGGAGCCCCTTATGCAAAAGTAACTTAATCTCCATTGGGTTGTTGTGGGCAGTCCTCTTTCCCCTCAGCAAAAATGGAGGTTCCAAGGAAAGAGAGGAGCTGAAAATTGTCTGATCAGGGAGTCTAGATTTTAAAATCGACTAAATAAATATATGTCTGAAGTGAAAGAGAACAAGCTGACTTATGTTTGGTATCACCTGAGAGAAACAGGGGAGGCAACAGGACACATTTGTATGTACATGGACTTCCATGTGGATTGGTCTGTTGCTGTGGATGGGTTGGGGGAGTGGGCCCAGTGATACAGAGTGAGGGACAGCTGGTGTAGAGGATTCCTCATGGCCTCTGGAAGCTTAGGCCTCCAGTGTAGCTGGATCCTCATTCCAGGGAGTTTTGTCTGCAGTTGTCAGGACAGGTGGCTAATAGCTCTGCCAGGATTAGGGTAGGAAAGGCCACACCTGCTGTACATAGAGATCTGATGACTGGTCCAGAGTTTAAGTTTTTGTTAGTTCTTTGCTAAGCATTGTCTTTTTGCAGGCCCCATTCCAGCCTCACATCTGGCAATTAAATCCTCTTCATCTGTTTATTTTCAAAGATTAAAGTTATGTGGCCAGTTTGTGCCAGAACAGGTCTGGTTAGCCCTTGGGGCCTGTGTATGAAAAGAGTAATGGAGAAACAGCCCAGCAATGAGGCAAGTTATAAGTGAAAAGATGACAGTCACATTTTATTTATGCTTTTTAAATGCCTTTTCCTGGCCTTTAAACAGGTGATGACCATGAAAATGTGGTTGAACTAATTTGTGGCTCAGCTCTTCCATGGCTGTTAGACTCCTCGAAATTCCAGACCCTCCAAAGGTTCTTAGTTTGGAGACTCTAAAGTTCAGAGTATATCAGAATCCTCAAGGGAACTGGTTCAAAGTGCAAAATTCCTAAGATTATGAATCAAGAAGTCC